TTACAGTTAAAAAATTGTTAGAAGCTGGAGGGGATGTTTTGTTCTACTCTGTGACTATGTACTCTTATGTAGTAGCGGAGTTCAACAAAAGAGTTTACCTCTAGGATCACTGGTAGAACTTAATTTTTCAGTTAGTGGATTAGAATTCACTAGACTTTCATCTGTGATTGCTGTTCTGTTTGGTTTCCTGTGGTTTTTAGGTGATGTGTGTTGTTAAATTAGACACTGTAAACTTTCAAACTTACGGAATGAATTTCGTGTCCTCCCACTCCATTACATCGTTGAGTAACTACTTTAACAACTGACTTTGTTGATTTATAAATACTTTAACATACGTGAATTTAGCCATAATAGAATTCGATAGCGCATGTGTTGTATATTTTGTTGATTGCAACTAGAAGCAACGCTTCATTTTGTTTAACTGAGAAATTCAGTTAGACGCATTGTGTAAGGAATTCCATGATAATGATGATGACAGTGGCGATAAAAGTGACCGTGTTTTTATTCAAAATAAATAAAAGCTAAACCAGTTCACCTCTATTGCCCTGACAATTTATGCCACGCATTGACATTTTCCTGCTGCTTGTTTTATTTTCAGAGTATTTAAGTGATATGCTGCTGATAGTAGCTTTCATCAGTGCAGATGAAACTTATCGCATTCAAACTCTTTAGCATCATTATCATGACTACTATATACAAACAAACAGATATTCCATTAGTTTGCTCACCTTGGTTGAAAGCATTTCTAGAATCTTTTGGTCACTGGGGAGGAACATTGTAAGACAGAACTGAAAGGGAAAAACAAGGAAAAATTATGAACCAAATTTAGGGAATGTTATGGTAATATTTGATGGTTCAAAAAATTATCCGTAAACATATATTATTCATTGACTTCGCCAGTGAAATGAACCTGAGTTAAACTAAAATTTCTTTCTAGAACAACAAGAACTTATTCACTTTTATGGACATGAGCCACTGGATTACAACCCACTCGATAAGTTTTGATTTCTGCACTCTGTGAATCCGTGAATGTGTACTGGTCGAAGGTTTGAAACTCTAATAAATGCTGATTAAACCTTACTCAGTTCATTTATCTTGTTTAGTTTGCCTACACCTAATAAATAGACGGGTCAATCTTAACTGCAGCGAAAATTCCACCAACTGCGTCTTATGACTAGCTAAATAAAATATACTGTCTTCAAATGGATTATATAACTGGATAAAGCATGACTTAAATGTGACACAGTTGGGTTTGAAAGGAAATTTATGATTTGTATAATTCACCTTACTTGTAGTTCGTAGCGAAATTTCAATTAAGACGTAGGATTAAAAAATTGGCAAGTTAACACAAAGTCATGTTGTTTCGAAGAGTTTGTACGCTGAGTGAAAGTGCTTTTACTTGAGCTGCATCATTGCAACATATTCAAAACAAATGACGCCAATGGAAAGTAGGTGTAATACACTATACTTTTACTGGAAACATCATTTGCCGATTCGAAATTGTATATATGAAATAACTACATTTAGTGGAAAACAGAATGTTTATTTTACTTAAAATATCAAAACATGTAATATAAATCTTCGTGCATAATCCCATTAAGTATCGTGAGAAAACCATTAAAAGTAATAAATGTAACTCTCCAAGGTGCTTACATCATCACTTAGGTTAGTGAATACATGTTGTTGTTTAGAGGATTCCCTGTCATTAAAAAAGTACAAACCATGTAAGTCCTGTTCTGTGACGAAAAGCATATTGATCAGAAAGACTCAGTCCACAATTTAGAGGACATACAACAAAAGTAAATCATCATTACTCCAAATTTAAATGTCTGATTCATAAAACGAGGAAAATGATTAGAACCACGAAAATGTAATTTCACTGCAGTGAATTGGCTTAAGTGAGGCTGTAGAAATATATTTTTTGGAAGTTGTGAAACACTTTATGCTGTTTTCTCCTTCTGTGTAATATATCTATCAATCTTGCATAAAATTATGAGAAATGAGACCGCTAATTTACAGGAAACAAAGTCAACAAAACTGGTCGCTTTATTATTCAGCAGTTATTGGGGGCTAGAATATACATTTTCACTTTACTTGAGACTTGTCAGCCGCTCATAAATGGATCCCAGGGCTGATGTTGTTCTCCTCGAGACACCAAACAAGCAGTCATCACTTAAAACATCAACATGAAATCGATTGGTCTACTGTGATACCAGAAGTACTTCATTTTCTAATTTCCTACGTTCCGAGAGGCAGAGTTTCAGCGGTATTCGTGTAGTGTATGTAAACAACGGACTATTCTTTTATGATGATATGGTGAACCATACCATAGATGGCTACTCATTCTTCTATGGATATCTTCACTCACTCCTACGTCACTGGTCATATATATGTGTCACTGTTTCCAAGTATAACGATACAGGTATGGTTAAATATAATTTCCATCCCACATCTCTGTATGTTCTCGCTTATGTGCAGCGGGCTGGAGAAACACGTAGCTGTTGTAGACGGTGTAGGAGTTGCTCGATGTACCTATTCCAGCTTTCAGAGTTTAATTATTATGAAAACTACAAACGTGGCTACAATATGCTGGTCTGGTGGCGCGGCATTAGCAGCCATACGACCGAATATGCCTCTTTCAGAAAATGCTGTTGGCTAGTAAATTAGGCGATTTTTCGGTGTGCGTCAGCTGCGAAACTGAACTCGAACCACTTCCTGAGTAGACGGTATTAGATAATAATAATTGAAACCTGTGAATTCGTCTCTCTTTCTTCATACTGGATGTACATAATCAGTCTCTTTCAGAATATGGCTTCATAAAACGGATAACTGCATAATGACTCTCCTCTTAGTCTAACTTTTGGTGGTTATATACAGCTGACGAATTTTGGATCAAAATTAAAACCATATTCACCACCTAATAATAGTAAAGATAACAGTAATAATAAAACAAGCGAATTTCTTTTGTGAGCAAATACACCAATGGCGAACTGTTATAGCCATCCTGTAAGAGGAAACGATGAAAATGTCATAAGTTCCGAAGTAGGAAATTTATTATTCAAAACACTTTGATATACTTCACCTGTTAAGTGTTAAAATCATTACTTTTTGACGTTCGGAAATCGAAAAAGCTCAATGAACTAGAAATTTAACGTGAGGTCCACATACGGATTTATATTTTGAATAATTTAAATGAGACCGCTACCATTACTCATACGTTAAAAATTATGTGCCGTAGAATTCCAACTCCCCAAATGAATACGTGAAATGTTTCAATACCGAAAGGAGTGAGTGTTTGATATGGAGTAATCCAAAATCAAGGAAAAATAAAATACTGGTTACCTTTAAAATGTGGTGTACTTGATAGTGTTTGAACAAAATGAATGGCGTTAAACACAAAATATATATCTACGTAGTGCCAGCCGTTCATGCATTTACCAAAAGCTATTGTTTACACACATTTATTGTTTCGTTATTCATCAGTGAAATTGCAGAAACAAAAATGTGTATCACCCAGAATCAGTTGTTGATATATATCCTGTTGGCATTTATTTTTCGCAGTATTAAGAAATTATTCCCGAAAGCGAAGATAAATATTGTAGTACTAACTATGGTCTCTAATTTCAGCGTGTTCACCTTTCATATAAAGTGAAGAAATTGTCTTTCAACGGATAAATCTCTGTAAGAATGACTCGAAACTTATTCCATGTTTACTTAAACATCATGCCTCAAGTCAAATGGATTCCAGAAACCAGTCTTAAATGGCACGTTCTAAAATTCCCATGTAATTTTGCTCAGTTAATTTTTGGCGCCCTTAATATAATTAGGTACACACATCAGACACAGAATCGAGGATGTCTTTATAAATGACTAAACAACTCACAGAAAACTTGATACATGGAAAAAACAGCCACAATACTTGAAAGTTCATTAAGGTTGATAAGGTGGAAATAATTCGTCACACTAATCTAGCCACTTAATATTTTTGTTTTCAGCAAAGTTTTGAAAACAACTTTCATAAGGTTGTCTGAATTCTAATAATATTACCGAAAAAATGAACATTACAGAAAGAAAGAAATGGATGTTTACTTCAAAAGCAGACAGATATATTTGTCAAAATTGAAATTTTATGCTTTCTCCTTTTATTTCTTCACAGATTACGTCGGTAAAATGGGTAGTGAGTGAAGAGTATAACGATGCAAGTTTATAGTGTAATTGATCAAAACTCAGACAATGAAAATAGTAGCCTGAAACCCTTAAGAAAGCAAATATAAATAATAAGGCACTAGACAGGTGAACTTAAGCTAATGATGTCAACAACCAGTTGTCTTCAAATGAGAATTAAATTTTAAGCTGAATAAACGCAACCTTAATCAGTGAGATAGTCTATATTATCCTATTTAAGATTTAGACACTTGATTTGATTAAGGAGAATGCTAGACTTGCTAATATGAACACATCATGGAAAAATAATACAATGTTTTACTGGTATAACCGGAACCATTTCAACGGCTGTGTTTGTAATTCGCTGCACATGTTTGGCGTATTAATCAGTACTTAATTTTCAATTTGGAATACTTGAGCGTTATTCTTATGTCGTTGTAAGCCTATTTATACCCAATACAATAAGAACTTTATCTGATAGCTGAGCTGCAGAGACTGGGATTATCAACTTAACCGATCAGCAGAAAACGAATTACTTCTTATGATCATTGTTTTGTCTTTGATATTTCAATCTAAGATAATTCAACCAAAAATAAGAAATGATTTGCAGAAACTTCTTTTACTATGTATATTACATGATCTAGTTTGCAGTCTGTATGATGACATTAGTTTTATCCATATTCTGCATTTACCTTGCCAGTAAATTCGAAAAGGTGGCGAAATAGTTTCAAGCTCTCAACCTACGGATGCCTCAATAATTCAAGTTATTTAGCAGTTAATATTCATCATGAAAGTGAAGAAAATATTTCTGTTTTAAGGGTATATAGTTAACTTACTGATATAAGAGTCCCATTTTCTAGACTAGCACTTTCGCAAAGCAGGTAGGCAACCACTGTGAAGAGAAAAAATGTGACTTTTCGTTAAGCATATTTCCCACGACGATACACCACCTATGATTCCAAATTTTTCCATTTATACAATTTAACAAAATTAACAGGAAAATCTTTTTCAGGATCTTTAGTATATATTTTATCTTTGAATCAAACTGCTGACTAATAAGTACACACAGTCACAGTTCCGTACGATCTGAAAAGAAACTAACTTTTTCATACACCAACTGACTGATTGTATGTGTGCTTGGCAAACATTTTTTTCTTCTGTTTCGACGTTATTACCGATTTATAAGGCAACGCCTAAAAAAGATAAATGATAAAGCTTATCTTTGACTGAACACAGTAGTAACCATCTACTTTTATTTAACAAGTCTTTAGAGTAAATTAATTCATTTCCAGTCATTTAAATTTATTCAGCGCAGAAGTAATTCGAGCGAAAAACTTAAAATGTGAGGAAATCGCTACAAGTAATCTTTTTTTTTACATATAAAGCACCAAATACAGTTTTTGTTCTTCATCTTTATTTGATGTTTCAATAAGAAAATACACATTTTAAGGAGATTTTCTCAATAGCATAACTTTTGCTGTGCATTTCTCACTATCTACATGCAAATATTTGCTTATGTGATGTTCATGTTTGCACTTCGAATGCCGTGACACGTTGTTAAAAACAGCAGTAGGAGAAAGGAAAGAGAATGGAAACATCGGGATGTTGTTCGCTAATTCTGTGTGTTCCTTGCAGAGGTGAAGGTAATCTGGTTAGATTACGTGAATACTCAAGAATAATGGTTAGGTAATTATGCAGACGCATTCACACACCAGCGCTGAACTCAGGTTTTATTAATCTGATTCAGGTTCTGCGGTGGTAATATGTTTTTATTATTATATGACTGATATATGTACTGTTATCTTGGTGCAAAATGAAAGTTTATAAATTTATAAGATGAGATAGCCTATGCTTGATCCATTAAAAGCGAAAATGTAATTTGTGTCGAGTACCACTTAAATTTTATCCTCCACTTTACCTAAAACAGATATCGTTAGATTCTGGAAATGTTAAACCTCTGGAAAATCAGTGTAATGCATTCAACTGGACATAATTACCCCGAAAGCCACCAGTTATGGCTCCATTTGCATTTCAACAGCTTTTAAGCGTGAAAAATGCTAGATATTTAGTAAGTGAGCAGAGATACTAACCATCAGAATGCTTCAGATAACTGCCAACTATAACTGTTAAAGAAAAGCTTTATCTGATGATATTAGATGTTTTGAGGCATTCGGCAGGAAGCCTTGTGATGGCGAGCTACATAGAATGGTGGTCACATTGCAAACCTGACTGAGAGAATTCAGCCTGCACCAAAGAAAGGCCTAAACGCATTACAGTAATATTGGGTTGCATATTTAATCTAATGACTTAACTTTTAATCTCAAATCATGTGGTGTAAACACTACTAAAATTGACAAAATCTAGCTAATCTCATCAAAGTTTTCGTGACTAACTTGTTATGTGAAAGGCACTCTGCTAGGTAAGGTGTTAAGGTATGATTATTCTGACCGTTAAAGATAGCTTTAACCATTCGTAGATTAAGTGCGATATTTTCCGAAAAACTCCACATCATTGTGTAATGTAAGAGTTTACACTTTATTAAGAGTAGAAGTGTAGTTATACGAGTTTACTTCAGTACTGAATCTTATCAGCAATCAGTCAGACAACTAATAAGTGTAATTCGGTCGAATAATACGTATTTAGTGTAAATATGCAATCTCTGAGGTAATACTCACCGAATTTCAGTTTTTTCACTGTTGGTTTTTCGAGAAGGAACAAGCTACGCAACTCCATATTCCTAATATTATCCACTTTTATGACGAAACTTCTAACACTGTAAAAAGTAAAGGATAGAAAGAAATTGATGAGGTTGTGAAAGCAGATAAATTCAGCATTATTGTCAAACATATTTACACGTGTTTGTTGTGTTATTTGGTCAAACTATTCATTTCGTCGTACTCCTTCGGTAAAACATAGGAGTTCAAATCTGTCATGATGTGAAGCTATAAAATCCGTAATCTCAATCCAAAAAAGGTCTTACCCATATTTAGTTTTTCATATCATTGACTAGCAACGGTAAAAGTGAACCGTAGAAAATAATAGGCTTCCGTCTGAGATTTGAACCGGTATCACCGAGTCCCGAAGTAAGGCGACCCACCAGTATCTCTACTGTGGCCAAATGCAGCTCTGTTTCTATCACTAGGTGGATCGATATTCTCGAATGTGGCAGAGTTCTATTGTCCATTTAAACCAGCTTCTTACGTAAATATATGAAATTTTCATGCTGAGCATTTTATGACACTTCTTAAATCGCTAAAGCATTCTAACGACTTAATTCACATTAAACTAAAGGTTAGTGACTTCGTTATTTGTATGAATAAATTAGGCACACTTCTGATTCAATTTTCCTTTTGGAAGACATTACAAGCTAATTCGGAATACGGATGGAATTAATTTGTTTAACAATGAAAATGAAACCTATGGATATTTAGTTTTATTAGAAATTAATATTTGTTGAAGGAATAGTGTTCATTTTAACTCAAGTGCATAAGTAAGGATTCTGTACTGTATAAAAGATTTGAGCAAGTATAATGAAACCTACTAACGTATGTTCAGATTTCAGTAAATGGCTGCATCATCAGACAACAATATAGTTATTTACTCCTAAAGTTAACAAGGTTATGACAGTATCTCCTTTATGTTTGCGAACACAAGTTTCCACCTTTAGGACTAAATATGTATTCTTAACAGTTTCCCATTTTTATTAATGTAGAGAAAACACATCTTATCAGATGGGTTTCAGTGACATTATATGGAGTTGTTTTGACAATCCAACAGGGTTAGCTTCTGGTTAAAGTATTCCTTGGACAGTGAGCATGTAAAAACACAGTGTTGCACACGGATGAGTTGTCCTGCATATTTCAGTCACGTGATATCAAAATGTCATACAATTGAAATCTTATCGTGATCAGCTCAGAAGTCTAGTCTGTCTGCTACACTGCTACTAGACAGAACAAACAACATATGAACCAGGGTTTGAAAACCAGCAGTAATTCGAAACGTTCATTCACACTGGGACTCCACTGAGTAAATATGTGTAAGAATAGTTGATTATATGCATATTTTAGCAGCTATGCTGCTATTCATTGGTGGAGTTTCGATTTCTATAAGAATTATCTTAATTTCTTCCCTGATGAGCATTTATTGTGATATGTTCTCATGGTGACTTGCAGAGAATCTTATCAGACAAACAATGAGGATACTGAACTAGTTCCATACTAATATCTGTGTTCCACACTGTGACTGGATTATTATTTGGACGAAACTCACCTAAAAATTTAGTCATTGTGTAGCAACAGAAGGTAAGACACGGAAGCCAAGGTATATTTTCCACTGATCAAACAGCTATTTATATCTATACAGTTTATATTCTTTAACCAATCATTTAGTGTGTGATTTTGGCCTACATTAAACGACATGAAATAGAATGTTCAAATATACGTAGTATTCTGTTGCAAATGCGGTATATAACTGTGGGAAAAGTATTCTGTCTCTAACATCAGCTAGAATGTTCAAATGGATATATCGTATTCTGTTGGTAATGCTGAATTGAACTGTGGAAGTATGTGAGAATAATATTCCCTTGACATACACTGTCTGTATAACACCACCACAATTGTACTGATTACTAACCTCGTTCTCCTTAAATGTGTTTTTGTTATGTTGTTAAAAAATCCAACAGTTAAAAATGCTATCAAGTTCTGTTAGGGTCAATTTCAACATCAGGTTCTCTCTCATTTTTCCTCTGATTTGCTCTACTTTTCACTTCTATATCCAAAGCTATGCATATTCCCACACTGGAATTATCAGGCTAACTGCTTTTAACTGTTTTTCCTTATTTTCGGAGTTGTGAATATTTTATTGGGGTTTTTGACAGAACTTTAGTTTTCGTCATCTTATGCTTGAATCTCGAATTCTTTAGCAAGGAACTGATTTGTTTGTAACACAATACTAGCTTTCAAACCCGTTTTTGAATTTATTAAGGTTTATAAATGAAAGGAAATAAGTGAAACTTGGTCTGTTCACTTCCCTGCTACGTTGTGGTAAAGTAGTGAAATTTCATATCTCCTAGTAGTTGACTGTTACTGACAACTATTAAACTTCACATCGTATAACTTTATTACTTCCTTTTCACAGTAGTTAACCTTCGTATAATTACTGCAATTACTACTTGTACGTTATATACTTTGGAGATATGAGGTGTAGTTAATACAAAGACGCACTAAATTGAGTCATTAATAAAATATACCGGAGGGCAAATCAATCCTTCACTGTGTGTCATCTAGGTATTCTTTCTACACGTACCAACTGGGTACACAGCAAGAGACCTAGTGCATTGCTTTCCTTTGTTTCCTTAGCTTTCAGCTTTTATGAAGTCTGTGCATTGAATTTATGTGAAATATAGTTCAGTACAAAGCTTACCTATTTTTAGTTAATTCATGTTCACTGTAAGAATGAAAAATAAAACATTTGTTCATTCTGTTGTCAGTAGTTACTCTTTTGGATTTTACTTTCAGATTTGCATTTTTTGCAGTTCGACTTTCCCGGGTACATGAGATATTGGTCATCTGACACACAAATTCATTGATTAAGCTCATTGTTGACGAGTTCACTCGTTGAATAAATATAAGATGCTGCAAATTTAAAAGGTGAAACAATATCGTATCATGCAAATATAAATACATATAAAACCTGAAAATATCTTGAAGACTTAACTTTTTGCTAACTTAACAACAAAAACACACTAAATATGATGGGGATGTATAGCTCAGGTGGATGATTTTGATGTGCTTGTGCTCTCTGAGCTGGATAGTTGATTTGCGAAGCTTTTAGAGCTTTTAGATTTCTCCACGAGTTTATTAGTCATCTCTCCTGGTGACCTTGAACGTGATTGCTTGTCTTTGTGTGTTTTCACACCCTCTAGGCTACTTGTATTGGAACTGATTGTTTCCTTGACTTGAACTTTGACCCTCTGTGTGTGACATTTCCTTCTAATCAGTTGGTAAATTTTATGTAAGCCAATGTGTCTATTAATTGACGATTCACTGGAATACTGGGCTTCTAAAAATTATCTAGCATTCTTGGTGTTTCCTCTGTCTAAAAGCTCGAACACATAATCCTACCAAAGATCAAACCCAAAATTTGGATACGATACGTCAACGACACATTTGTATTAATCAAAAGAAACGAGTTGGATAAAACTCACAACTTAACAAACAAAGTCTTCAACGACATCGGATTCACAAGAGAAGAGGAGTCCGAGAACCAAATCCCATTTTTGGACGTCTTAGTCAAGCGAACAACGACGGGGGAGTTAGAAACTCAAGTTTATAAAAAATCAACCCACACAGACCAATTCTTGAATTAGAACAGCAACAATCCAATAACACACATAAAGATTTGCATACAAACACTATTCAAGAGGGCAAGGACTCATTGCAGCACTCCCACCTTAAAGAAAATTGAAGAAAGATATCTCATGGATGTCTTCCGAAAGAATGGATATCCACGGAATTTCATTAGAAGACATATACCCTCAAGCCAACCTATCAAATCAAAGGCCTCCAAGGAAAGCATAAAGAAAATCGCCTTACCATACATCTCAGAAATCACCGCAAGACTCTTCGAAGCTTTTGAGAGCTTCGGAGTTCGAAAATGAATCGTTCGATTCAGATTCAATCCGTCTTAAATAATTAAGCTATAAATTATGAAATCAAAGTGTGCTGAAACTCTGAGGCCTTCATTTAAATGGCTATATTTAAAGTTCTGTCAGTCAGTCAGAAATGATCACTTCATAGCTGCAATAGTTAGCATGAATAAACCAGTTTGAAGATACTAGTCTTCCATAGTATTTCCATTTACTCCTGGGATAAAAAATGTTGCTCTAGAATGTAACGAAAACATCTGTGCTTAGTGATTATGAATGTGTTTTGTCCAAGCCTCAACACAGCAATGTGAATCAAAGGACACTGTCATAAAACATTCTTGCTTTAGGAAAATATATTATTCTCTGCAACAGAGAAAGCAGGAGTACACAACGGAAGAGGCCATAACACCAGAGTTTGACAGCAGCAAACGTGGGGTGATACGCGCCTGCTTAATCTGCTGCTTCACTTACACTGGTTCTTTCTACAGCACGAAAAATATCCGTCTAAATCAAATGAAAAATGAAACTGATGAATTTGTACGATGTGAAGATGCGATATGCATTACTTTTGAAATAATGCATACTGAATTTGAGGACAACATAGAAGATGCGACGACGCCAATACATACAAAACAAAAGCACATTCTAACAGGTGCCTGGAGTTGAAGTCATTCTATCTCATTTTAGCTAGATGATATACACGACTAAACTTCCAAAATGTAAGATAAACAACCAATCAATAAAACAAAGCACCTACAACATTCAATTCTGCTTTTAACAAAACTTTGCCGCTCTATCTCAAAAATTTATCCAGAAGCATTCGAAAAAGTTAATTTAAAAAAAGATGTATGGCCTAATATTCAATATTAAACAGAAATCGTCGAAAACAGGCTGTTCAAACTGTAAACAAGTTTCCTATATCAAGAAGCAGCTTAGGAATGAGGCTAGAGTTAGAGCCACTAATTTAACAAGTATCCATATGCGTATAACTTATTAACAGACTTTCATATTTACAGATGTATATTATAGAGTCTTATAATCAAAATAATACTGTTTTCTGAATTGTGAATGATGTCTGTGAGATTTTAATTGTCAACTGTCATAGTTACTCTATAACAGCTGAAGGCAAGTCACAGAAGCCAAGGTGTATTTTCCACTGATTAAACAGCTATTTATATCTATACAATTTGTATTCTTTAACCAATCATTTAGTGTGTGATTTTGGCCTACATTAAACGACATGAAATAGAATGTTCAAATAGATATATCGTATTCTGTTGATAATGCCGAATTGAACTGTGGAAGTATGTGAGAACTATATCCCGTTGACACAAACTATCTGTATCACACAAACACAACTTGATTAAAACTGTCAGCAGAAACCTATGGGCAAAGCGAATTTGGGGGATTTTCATAGTTATTAAAGTAAGCAACTATACTTCGAATCTCGCCTAATTTACAAATTCCCCATTTTGCAAGCCCTTCTTATGACCGGAAAGAAAGGAAGACGTTCGGCAGTGTGTTAAATGGATTATTTGTGCAAAATACAACCGAACCGTTAAGACTGCTTGAAAACACAAATACGAAAATTAAATAAATTCTCTGGCTGGTGAAAGCTTTTTTCGAGACTGGTCAACAGATGCGTCATTTTTCTATGACAGCGATGGAATATTCTCACAATGTTTGAGACTAACCGGTAGGGCTGCTGAGATCGTAAAAGAAATAAGAATACATAGAATAAGAGTACTGGAAATCTATGAGGGTAGATGGAATGGAGGTAGACACTACAAATTGTTGACAAAATATTCAATAATATACTACAGTCATCCAGAAGATAACCACAAGCACATTGTGAGGTGGCTATTATGATCTTAAAACAGCATCAAGCAATCTTATGCAGTGGGTTCAAATTTTATTCAGGATAATTACAGCAAGATTCAACTCAGGGAGAATGAAAGAATGCTATAGTTATCCAGTGCTAAGCGCCTACAAACAGCGCAGACATGGAGAAGAAGGCAGATTTCTATAGATAGCTGCAAACAGGGAGGGATAAGACGCAATTGGCGACATCAAATTCTCAATGGGCGATATGAATGCCAGACTGGAAGCAGAAAATACAGCAAGATGATCCATCATGAGCCGGCAGGCTCTCGACGAAACGAATGAGGACGGAGGAGTCTTCGAAGACTTCTGTGCATTCAAAGATCCGGTGATCGGGAGCAGTGTGTACAAATACAAGGATATACGCAAGGCGACGTGATTTATCCTGATGGACACACACACACACCAAGAATCAGATGTACTTCATCTCATCTTGAAGAAAGTGGAGACACAGTCTGTTGGACACACGGTCGAGAAGGGGGGCAGGTGTGGTTGCATACCATAATTTAATGCAACGAAGCCTCAAGGTCAAGCTGAAGGCCTTCAAAATGCTGGAGATAGACCACTCAGAAACTGTAGGACAAAACTACGAAGAACGCGTTCACTGCAACCACCAGAGCAAGGATACAGACTTTTACTCTATTAACAGCTACACTGAAATTTAATCCGTTCTCAAGCACTTTTATTTCATCAGATATCTAGGCTCTCAACAAGATTGGAGATATTACGTAGCATCAGTGAGGATACCAATGGAGAGAACACTGAAATTCTATGAAAGTGATGTTGGAAGAAACGTTGGCAGCGGCTTTAGGAAGAAAGAAGAGGCAAGTTATGGAATGGCTTTCAAAGGACACCTGGGAGCTAATAAGAGAGATGAGAATGGTGAAACAGAAGATGAACTAATGCAAAGATGGACAACGAAAGGTGAAGCTGAGTTCAATGTGCAAAGCACTGAATAAAGAAGTGAAGAAGAGTGCTAAGAAGGACAGGAACAATTCTACGGTACACAAACACACTGAACAGGCTTCAGGTAACAGAGACCTGAGAACATTATATAAGATTACCAGGTCATTATCTAGTGAGAGATCAACACAGATAGAATCAAAGAAAGAGTCCCAAACTAGGACGAAACAGCTGTCCAGTTGATATGTATCCACATATATATATTTACGTGTGTGTGTGCATGTTGGTCTCTCTTTCTGTTTGCTCGGTTAGTCTGTGACCACTTCACTTGTATGGACTTGTCTCCTTTAATAATGTGTATTCTCCTTATATTATATTATATATAATATGAGTGTTTGTTGACAGTCCGTTGCTTGGTGACATATATCCATATATGTTTGTTGGCATGTCTGCTATATTCGCTATGTATAATTGGATCGACACTCCATTATAATTAGCCATTCATGTTAAGACTGTCTAATGATTTTTCCCACGCTTGTCTGAATTATTTATATATATTCGCATTCACAATTTGTGTGAACTACTTTACTTTACAACTACTTTACTTACTTATCACTTTGGTGTGAGACCATTTATTTTTCGTCTCCTTGTGTTTGGACAATAGAAGTATCATCGCAAACCTAGTGGTCTTCTGATTTCCGCCTTCTCGCGTCAGGACTATTAGTTTCTCGACCAGTCCATAACAATAATTTAGCGACGAGTACATAACAATTTGGCGACGGGGAAACTAGAACATAACACCAGTACTCCCAGATTTTCCAGTGGTTCTCTAACTGATGTCAGTCCATGATGAAATCCTCCATACAATCAAACAAAATCCCTACAAACCAATACTTCAAAGAAAGATAATGAAGCGCAAGAAGTACGGGTAACAAATGAAACAAATGGCTGATTAATTCGAAAGACTCCTAAACTGACCATCGCCTGCAACTCATCCAGAACTACCACCATCAACTTAACAGACATAGAGCTGCAAGAGGACAGTAATCTCCCGACAAAATAAGACTTCTTGGATGACTCAAAGCTTCTGAAAGTCGGTCAGGGAGGCAGGAGGACAAGATGGAATTATTCTAGAAGCACTGAAACAGACGCACAGACCCCATTGGATATGCTGACGCCACTGTTGCGAAGAGATTGGAAGAG